GAGCCAGTTGCCAAGAAATTGAATTTTGATCGAGTGCAACAGTGTGAAACCGGTCATTAAGTCACTTTTCTCAGTGCCATTGTAACTTCAAACGGTCACTAAATGAATGCTTGTAAGTCAAGGACTACCTGTACATTGCTATGGAAAAGGTTAATAAAGAAAGAAATATGGGCAATTTTTCAAAAGCTTCTTTATAGTCTTGTATGAAGTTGTTTTTTAGGGGCACAGCATTGCAAGCTTTCATAGTGGTCTCATGTTCATGGGTTTCTGTCCAAAATTACAAAACCAAGAATACCTGTTGGGTGAAAGCAGTTCACATCTACCCACTGCCTTTATTTATACCCAGAGTTGAGAGCTGGAATAACTGGAGTAGCACTATGTGAATGCTGAGAGTTGGGAGTAAAGTTCTTCAATTTCTACTTCAAATGACTGAAAAAAATGATCAAACAGTATATCCCCCAAAAGAGAGGGGAAGTACTTACCCCCCCCAAAAAAAATTCTAGTAAGAAAAATAGTTTGCTCAGGAAAAGAAAAAACACTAATTAAAAATATGTTTTCACTGGGATCTGAACTGTAGAATTCTACATATCAATTCCGCATCTCAAACAAATATAATAAGCACTCAGTCACTGAGAAAGACTTGTAACCTACAGCAGACTTTTTTGAAGAAAAGCTGGGAAAATGGGCCTCCTTATGTTAAAGCTGTGCTTTTGATACTTTAGGCTTGAATGTGTGTGTCTATTTAATTTTGCAAACATATATTTGTGTAGGAGTGGGTTGGTGTATTTACAAACACAAATAGAGAAAAGGATATATTTCCAGTAAAAAAAAAAAAGCACACAGAAACAAAAGCAACTGGCCATTACTTTCCTGGAACAGAGAAAGGGAAGGTGGAGCTGGAGTAGAATTGACCAATGGGGGCCCCTGCTACCTTCCAGTCCAGACTGAATTTCTTGCCAGCTGCTGACCAGGTGTCTGTACAGACAGGTCTTTCTTAAATTGGCTTAGAGTTAAGCCTGTATCCTCACAAAAAGGTACCAGTTTAAGGATGCAGTGTGCACATGCTCTCAATCATCTTTTCCAAGTTAAAAAAAAAAAGGCTTGTTTTTAACATGATTCTTTCTGTTGGCCATTTATAAGGATAACTTTTGTGTAGTGTATCCAGTTCTGCTCAATTTTTTTCTCTCTCATTGGTGGAGGGGATGAAGAAGGGACAGGCGTAACTATATATGGTATTCTAAATGAGGTTTTGTGACCCTGCATATTGGCACTAAGATCGCAAATGCTAAGCGACGGTACTGTTAAAATGGAGCCTTTCTGTCTGACTGAAACTTCGCCCACCTTCCCCTCCCTTCAAACGTTCTTTAGAGCCTAATAAATCTCAGACTTTCTCCGCAATATCTGTGCACTGAAAACTTGCACCGTTGTCAAGCTAGCTTCAAACTGTGAGTGGGAAGTATTTAAATCACCCAACGTCTAGATAGTCGTTTCCCATTTGCTTCTTAAGTAATGAACTCAGTATACAAATATCTGAGGAGTTTTCACAAACCAATTCAGTATCTCTGAGGGTTGTTATGCTTTGCTAATAGATCTGACATACTCAAAATATCATTTAAGCAATGACATAAGTGCATTATTTACTAGTTATTTTAAAAAACAAATATTTGCAAAATGAACAGGATTGTGGGTAAGAACAATGCATAAATGATTCTAGACCAGCAATGGAATTTAGCATCCCCTTCTCCACTGGCCTCTGATCCTTTTCTTTATGGCATTGACAGATATGATATCAAACAATCCTCCTATATGGAGCTGAGGGTTTTCTGGATTCTAAACCCACCTCAGCTAAAGGGAATAATGGGAGAGGGGTGTCAAAGGGGATTACTACCCAGAAGATCCTCAGTAGTTCCTACTCCAGATCTACTCCATGACATGCAACCTCCGAGGAATTTTTTTTTTTTGCAGTGGAATTAAAATGAATTTACAATTCTGAAAAGGAAAAAGACACTTACTCTTCCTGCCTTAACTTTGCCACCATCAAGTTGCTTATCCCAAATCCATAATTTGTTTTCTAATTCCACTCATGACATCCCCCCTGCTCTGACAACAACTTTACTCTAAAAGGGTATCCTGGGGACACTTTGAGCCAGGGACAATATCAGAGATATGCAGGATATTGTGAAAAAAGTCAAGATGGCAACTGTGACATGCGATTTAAGTGATTTGCCAATGTGGTGGTGATCACCACCCTGACTATTTTTATTCCACCTTGTGAGCACCCTTGGACAATTTCCAAGTCACAGCCACAGAACAGGATGGGAAGACACCAAGGGGACGTACATTGTGCTTGGCTGCCATTTCCTTCCCTTGGTCCTGGGTGATTTTTCTCAAATGCATTAGATCAACTTTGTTGGCCACTAAAATCATTGGAAAAGATTCCCTGAAAGACAAAAAGAAGAACGAGAAATATCAATACAATCTATCTTTGCGGCTGGTACAGGAATATCGGCTTTAAATCCTTCCACAAAACGGTAACTGATGTTTTATGGTTCGCTCAAATAACATCATCCAGTGTAGCAGGTAATGCACTTCGACAACATTTTACATCTCTCGTTTTCTACCCATGACTGCCAGTTGAAACCATGGATTGGCTACACTGAAAAACTTTTTATCTAGAGGCTGGAGGGCACCTACCTGTCCTTAACCCGGAGAATGAGTTGATGGAACCTATCCACGTGTTCAAAGCTGGCTTTATCTGTGACTGAATAGACTATAAGAAAGCCATCTCCTGTCCTCATGTACTGCTCTCTCATTGCACTGAATTCTTCTTGACCAGCAGTGTCCAGGACTAGTGAGAAGAGAGAGGGGAAAAAAAAGAAAACGATTGAAAGAAATCACTTGCCCACTTTGGTCACTTCTCCAAACCACATCAGACCTGTTATATCCAAACATGGGCTGCTATGTAGATAGTAAATATGTAAAAGGAAATGAGCCTTTTTCTGGCTCTGTCCCTACTATTCACATTTGAAGGAAGATCCATGCAAAGGGGAGCCTAAACACAATGGTAGATAGGCTATAGGTCAGTGGTGGCGAACCTATGGCACGGGTGCCAGAGGCGGCACTCAGAGCCCTCTCTGTGGGCATGCGCGCCATCGCCCCAGTTCTAGGCCTTCAGCTGGGTTTTATAAAACCTTTTCGCTTTAGGCTTCTGCCGCCGTGTGCAAAAAAAAAAAGTTCAATCAATGAGTCAATTTCAACTTCTTGCGGGAAAAAAAAAGATCTTGCAAAGTTGGAATTGATTGATTGAACTTTTTAGTCCCACCCAGTCTGCCGTTACCACTGCAGACATGCCCACCCAATTGGCCACACCCACCCAATTGGCCACACCCACCCAATGGGCCACACCCACCCAGCACCCGACAATGCGTAAGTGGGTTTGGGGTTGCAGTTTGGGCACTCGGTTTCTAAAAGGTTTGCCATCACTGCTATAGGTTTCTTTTGTCTCAGCAAACGATAACCAGCTGGATTAACCCATGTGGTTCCCATAACAAAACAAATAAAAAAATGAAGTAATAATCCCATAATAAGGCAAGGGCAAATCATTTCCATTTTGCTGCCTAGTAAATGGCATAGACAGGACCCAGCAGCCAAGCTCAACGTGAAGGTTTTATATGAGATGAGTAAAGTAGTAGTAAACTTTCCAAAGAATGCCTTGGAAGCAGGACTCCCCTTGCCTCAGGTGTTTATTATGCGTGTGTAGGTATGGATTAGGTCAGAGATCTTCAAACTTGGCCCTTTTATGACTTGTGGACTTCAACTCCCAGAATTCCTCAGCCAGCATGCCTGGCTGAGGAATTCTAGGGAATTGAAGTCCACAGGTCATAAAAGGGCCAAGTATGAAGACCCCTGTGGATTAGGTGAATGTAATGCCCCTGAATCATTAATGCGGTGTTTTTTCCCATCCCTCCCTCAAAAGCTCATCAGAAGAATGAGCATTTCAGACATGAGCACATATAATCTGGTGATTCAGACTGCAAGTGCTTTGGGTTTGGTGACTCCAGATGCATTTGGGTTGCTTCTGCAAAAATTCGTAGCCAGCAATCTGGTCTAAAAGGAGGCTGTTCTTATCCTTAATCTCAGTGTGTTTTGTAGTTTCCATGTGGTCAGATCAAAGCCTGCTGTGTAATAATGGCCTTTTTAGGCTTGTACTTTTCTTCACAGAAAGAGCCTTTCTCTTGTATTATAAGGGAAATTATTTTTCATGCCTTTTGCTTCCTAATGGGGGAAGCTCAACCTCACAGCCATTTTAAATAATTATTTTAAGGCCATTAAGAAAAGAAAGATCTCTGAAAAAGAGACATACTGTGCTGTGTTCTAGTAGCAGAGATATGGTGGGTAGGGTTCTCTCTTTTGTTTTTGTTTTTAGTATAGGTAGTCCTCGACTTACGACCACAATTGACCCCAAAATTTATGTTGCTTGGTAAGAGAGTTGTTAAGTGAGTTTTGACCCATTTCACAACCTTTCTTGCTGTTGTTAAGTGAATTGCTGGAGTTGTTAGATTAGTAACACGAAGTGACTCTGGCTTCCCCATTGACTTTGCTTGTCAGATGGTCACAAAAGGGGATCACATGACCCTGGGACATTGCAACCGTCATACATATATGCCAATTGCCAAAAGTCTGAAGTTTGATTTATGGGAATGCTGCAACGGTTGTCAGTGTGAAAAACGGTCATAAGTCATTTGTTTCAGTGCCGTTGTAAACACTGGCCACTGAACAAATGGTTGTAGGTCAAAGTCTATCTGTATTAAAACCTTGTTTGGGGGGGGGTTCAAGCCTTGAGAGCCACTTTGGTGTAGTGCAGTGATGGCGAACCTTTTAGAGACTGAGTGCCCAAAACTTGCCCCCCCCGCCCTGCTCCGTCTCCTGCCCTGCCTGCTCCGCCCCCACTCACCCCCTGCTCCGCCCGCCCGCAAGGCTACCCACCGCCTCCATGGCCCACTCACTGCAGATCACCCAGGTGGGCCTGCAGCACCATAGCAGCCACGGCCTCCGCTCGTACCCTGCAATATCATCTGCGCGCGACGGGGCGTGAGGGCGGAGTCTTGTCCCTGCTGCCCAGCTGCCATGTCCTTGGCTGCACTGCTCCGTGCAGGCCACGCCCGGGGGTGACTCTCCTCCGGGGGGGCTGCTGGTGAGGAGGGGGCCGCAGGGCTGAGGCGACAGCACATGTGCCCACAGAGAGGGCTCCGAGTGCCGCCTCTGGCACGCGTGCCATAGGTTCGCCACCACTGGTGTAGTGGTAAATGCACCAGGCTAGAAACATAGAGACTGTAGTCCCACCTTAGGCACAAAGCCTGGGCTAGTCACCGCTCTCTTAGCCCTATAGGAAGACTGTCAATGGCAAACCACTTCTGAAAATCTTGCCAAGAAAACTGCAGGGATTGGTCCAGGCTGTCTTTGAGAACTGAACATGACTGAATGGAAGGGGAATAAAAAAAAGGCCTTGAGATCTCATGGAACATTGACTGTTCTGGATAGTGCCTCATCAAAATTCAGATGCTTGGCAACTGGTTCATATTTATGACCGTTGCTGTGTCCCAAGGTCAGATGTTCATCACCTTTTGCAACCTTCAGACAAGCAAAGTCAACGGGGAAGGCAGTTTCACTTAACTACTGGGTTACACACTTAACAACCGCAGTGATTCACTTAACAACGGTGGCAAGAAAGATCGTAGAATGGGACAAAGCTCACTTAGCAATTGTCTCGCCTAGCAACAGAAATTTTGGGCTCGATTGTGATGGTAAGACGAGGACTACCTGTATTAGGATGACTGCTTAGAAAGGACTAGTCCAAATCTTCTCTCGCCACTGCAATGTATGATGTGACTTATGGTTTCAGCTGAATGACTCACCACTTGCAATCTAAGGTAGGACAAATTAAGGGCAGTTTTTAATCTGAATGAAAGCTAGTATCCCATCCCAGCTCGAGTTTTGTCTGCAAGACTAGGACTTGGTTTTTAAGGACATGACAAATAAAGACAGAAATGTCTCAAAACATTTATAGAACAAATTCCCCTTCTCCCCTGGATATCCACAACTAGCCTGATCAAAAACTGTGGCAAGGACACACCTCTGGTCTTGAAAGTTAATTATTATTCTCTTTTCTGCCAGCGTTTCTGTATATTGCATCTAAAAACCACTGAGTATCCTCTCACTGGGCATAGTGGGAAGTAACGAAAACCACCAGTGGCAGGATGGCTACCACAAAAAGCTGCAATTATTCTTTTCTGACATCACTCAACTACATAGCAGTGTAATCATTTCAATGCTCCTGGGAATCAGATGTTATGGCTGCTTGAAGATTGTTCCTGATGATTAAAAGCAACAGAAGCATTCCTGCATCTAGAAAGCAGCAATTCAGCCACACAACAGTGGAAGAAAATGCAGAAAGGAAGAAAATGCAGCAGCTGCAACACCCATAACTATCACATATCTTATGTCACTCAGGGGCTGCCACAAAGAAGGGGGAGTCAAGCTATTCTCCAAAGCACCTGAAGGCAAGACACAGCGGATGGAAACTAACCAAAGAGAGAAGCAACCTAGAACTAAGGAGAAATTTCCTGACAGTCAGAACAATTAATCAGTGGAACAAGCTGTGAATGCTCCAACACTGGAAGTTTTAAAGAAGAGACTGGACAGCCATTTGTCTGAAATGGTATAGGGTTTCCTGCCTGAGCAGGGGGTTGGACTAGATGACCTCCAAGGTCCTTTCCAACTTTTATTTTATTATTATTATTATTATTATTATTATTATTATTATTATTATTATTATTATTATTATTATTATTATTATTATTATTATTATTATTATTATTATTTGTCAATGCCAATGGTGTTCAAGTGGTGCTCCAGTTGTTTTGGGATTGCACCCAAGGCGCCTATTACTATTGGTAATACCCTTGCTTGCCTTTGCTACAGTCTTTCTATTTCTATCTGTAGGTCTTTGTATTTTGTTACCTTCTCCAGTTCTTTCTTGTCTATTCTGCTGTCTCCAGGCACTGCCACGTCCACTATCCAGACTTTTTTTGTCTTTCTTATCGACAATTGTTAAGTCCGGGGTGTTATGTTGCAAGTGCTTGTCTGTTTGAATTCTGAAGTCCCAGAGCAGTTTAATTTTATCATTTTCTATCACTTTCTCTATTTTATGATCCCACCAGTTCTTGCTTACAGGCAAATGATATTTCTTGCAGATCTTCCAATGCAACCATTGTTGCTATTTTGTCATGCCGCTGCTTGTAGTCAGTCTGTGCCATCTTCTTGCAGCAGCTTACCAGATGATCCACTGTTTCTTCAGCTTCTTTGCATAGGTGGCACTTACTGTCTGTTGCTGTCTTCTCAATTTTGACTTAGTATGCATTTGTCCTTAAGGCTTGGTCTTGTGCAGCCAGAATTAGTCCCTTAGTCTCTTTCTTCAACTTTCCTGCTCTTAGCCAGTGCCAGGTCTTGTTATTATCTGCTTTCCCAGCTATTTTTTTTTAATGTACTGGCCATGTAGTGCTTTGTCTTCCCATGCCTCTATTCTGTTCTTCATTTAGTCTTTCTTGTAGACCAGTTTGGTTTCTCCAGTAGTCAGTAAGCCTTCCTGATATACTAATTTCAGTGCATCTTCATCATTGTCCTTCAGATATTCTTCCAAAGCCATTTTTTCTTCTTCAACTATCTGATGTGCTTGCAGCATTCCATGTCCACCTATTTGCCTTGGTAGATAGAGTCTGTCAATGTCACTGCGTGGATGAAGGGCATGATTCATTGTCATTATTTTTCTGGTCTTCCTATCCATTGCTT